ATCTATAATTATTTAGCAAGAAACAATTAAAAAATTGTGAATAAAACTTTGCAAAACAATTTTAATGTTAAATTAAGCGAGATTTAAAAAAAAATTATAACCTTTTAATTATTAAATATTAACACATGTTGGTTCAAAGGGCTTTGGTTTAAAAAAAATATGATTTAAGGGTACTGTTAATTAATTGTTAAAGAACTTATTATGTAATGTTACATTTGAATCACAACTGATATCTGCCTAATTTATGGCATGCCATATTATCCTTAGTTATGATTTTTTGCATTTGGTTACAAAGCCTTAGTCATTAGCGGAATGCAAATAGCTTATATAATGAAATATTTGGCTCCTAGTGAATTTTTTTAGAAAATATTCAGTACATATTGACATTCATAAAGGCATAACTTAAAACTAGATTTTGGTTTCACTACAAAACTTTTTTTATATTACAATTATTTTTACTACAAATTTTTTACAAGTTATATTAGAAGTATAATATACTTTTAATGTGCTATTGGTAATTTCTTCTAATATGATATTTCAAAATTAAGAGTTTATTAAAAAAAATATTTTCATTTCATTCTTGTTCATTGTATTTCAAAATCAGCATTCATTTATCAAAGTATCATTTTCCAGCCCTACTAAAATTGAATATCATTTGGCATTTACAGAGCCAAAAAAAAAAAGGGCCCATGCCATGATCTCTGTTTTGTTTCATATCTACTGCTTCATGTAAAGTAGAATTTTTAAATTTATGTATTACTTTAGTGATGTATTTTATGTGAATGTGATGATATACTTGTTATTTGAAATCAAAGCGAATTGGATATTTTTTCCCAATTATTTGTTTTAAAAAGGTCTTTATATTGATATACATAAATGTATTGATACATGTTGTCAGTTTTTATTACATTTACATTTATACATGATTTTATTCTTTACATCTAGTAGTAAATAAATATAGTATTAATGCAATCTGATAAAGTTGTTTTGATACTATTTTTTCTTCTCATGTTCACTTTATTATTATTATTTTTTGTTATGCAAATATACACTCCAAACAAGGTATCCCAAAACCAAGTCTAAGGTCAGTAAGGAGCTTTATGCGACAACATCCTGTTTTAACGTTTATACTTTTTAAAAATGGGTGCTATTTAAAATCTAATTAGGAAACACCTGATTTTGTATTTTTGAAATCTTTTCCTGAAAGTACTTATACTACTCTAGGAGAGAATAAAGCGTAGCTTTTTAATGATAACATTTAGATCCCATGTTCAGATTACTACTAGTCTCTTGGACTTGTATGGTAATCAATGACAATAAAAAGACTTTTGGGAATAAACAAGAAGCACCCATATAAAAACCACATGTATATTATAAAAACATGACTATCACCCCTGCATTTAAATTGTCACTTAAATAATTTCTTTATTATCGTTGGCCAAACTGACCATGGGTGAGAAGACGGGTCACTTAAATAATTTCTTTATTATCGTTGGCTGAATTTTTTCTTGTTTAATTTAAGCTCGTTTACCTGGGAGAGGAAAAAAAAGAAGAAGACGTTGGGGGAGGGGGGATTTTAATTTAACATTGGTCCGGATCTGTAAAGATTGGTGAAACATGTTTTACTTGTTTTACTTGTTTAGAGAATTACAGAGTCTAAAATCTTGCTAACTAAATTTTAATTAGAGTAACAAGTATATGTGTGGCATACAGGGGCGACTGCACAGGTGGGTGGGGTCGGTGGAAAGGAAGCTGTAGGAAGAAAAATCAAACTTCAATTTTTAAATATTTATTTGGCAAAAGCCTGCGATTTATATTAGGAGCAAATGCTTGTTGAATGTCAGCACTAGGAGCGTCACAAGTGTTAAATGTCATACCGATCACTTGGTGATTGTGTTGCTTTAGCTAGTCTGGGCCATGCTGAAGATTAACCTCCAATCCATAACTTTGGAACTAATACTAATACATTTTTTTTTCCGCACACCATTCCAGCAATCTAACAGGAGTTCAAATCTTTAAAATTATAACTGAAAAAAATGATATGCGTACTAAAATGTACTTTTCAATACAATCACTGGATTCAATTAATTAGTTTGCTGAAATATGTTTAAAAATTAATGAGTTGGGTTCCACTAGTCAAAAGAAGAAAAAAAGAGGGGGGAGGGGGTGGTAGACGCCTCTTGTGACATCAAACTATGTTACTTTGTAGGTAGGCCCTAAAGCCTAACAAGTTTCAGTGACTTAGCGAAGGCCAAGTATCGCGCCAATTTTTCCAACTGCATTTTTCAAGAACAGAAGTTTTGTACAAAAAGTTAACTAGTCACTTTTCCAAAGTCATTGTTGTTTTTCCTTCGCACACGAAGATGACCAATGCGATTTTCGACTTGAGTATTAGCCTTGGCTTGAGCTGCAGTTTTTTGTTTTTGTTTTTTGTGTGTGTTTTTTGTTAGGAAGATTGGCTTAATTCGTCAACCTCACTCTCTCGTCCTTTCCCATTTGATCCAAGGACAAGACTTAGTCTAGACGCCTGGAAATAGACCAGGATCCAGAAGAGGACCAGCAGTGCATGTGTTTCACTGTGCTCTTTATGCGATCTACGTCGCAGGAGTTGCCGGAATTTTCATTGTGTCAATGTCATTCCGTCTCCATGACTCCATTTCCGGGTTTGATATCAGAGACGCGTTCTCTTAGATTAGATGTAATCCAAGTTTAGCGAGTACCATCCATCCGGGGTGCTGGTGATTTAAAAAACTTTTTTTTTTTTTTTTAACCACTCAAGTTGGTACGCACAAACAAAAGTATAACGTTGAAATGGTGTGTTATTCTTTTAACTGTTATCTGCACGAGTACTTTTTTTTTTTTGTTTTTTTTTTTTTTTTTTTTTTTGGGGGGGGGGGGGGGTTGCTTTTGCTTGTCTGGACGTTTTCTGGGGATTGAACTCCAGCCCACCAGCTTTGGATTAGACTGCTTAATTAACCACCCTCCAAAATCATAGAGCATAGGGCATAGCTACGTTATTTTTTTTATTTTAAAAATCCTAGCTGATGCCAGGGCAGCCTTGAAACTTTCGACCGATGTCGAGTTCACAGTGGCATCGTTCAGGTGCTTCCATGCTATCATTGTGCGTGGGAAGAAAGATTGTTGATCCTGCACTGAGGCACTTTGAAGCATTTGCTATTGTTTCTGGTGTAATTGTTTATGGGAATGTCAGTGGTGAAGTCAGTGTTCAGTGAGCGTTTTGCTCTGATCAGTCTACCCGGCTTCTGTGGGGTGATGTACGTGCCTGCTGGGATGGCCGGCACTAGTCCCGTGATCACTTTATATAAGAATATCAGGCGGAGTCCCCCTCGTCTGTCTTTAATTGGGGGGGGGGGTCAAATCTTTTTAAGAGGCCAGTGATGAAGCCAGGGGTGGTGGCGGAGTCCCCCTTGTCTGGCTTTAATTGGGGGGGGGGGGGTCAAATCTTTTTAAGAGGCCAGTGATGAAGCCAGGAGTGGTGGATTTGTAGTCTCGAGCAATAAAACGCACCACATAACGTTGAATTCGCTTCATCGTGTCCACGTCTTGCTTAAGGTGTGGGTCCCAGATGATCGCACCATATTCCAGTAGAAGACGGACGAGTGCGAGATACGCATTTCGTTTGCAAGAAGTTTGGCAGTGGCGCAGATTTCTTCGGATGAAACCTAGTGCGGAGTTGGCTTTTTTTGAAATTTTGTTTATATGGGGTGACCATTTTAGGTTATTCGAGAAGAGTATTCCAAGGTATGGATTATTGGATACTTGTTGGAGGATTGTCTCGTTTAGTGAGTAAATATGAGTTGATTTTTTTTTCTTGAGATTGTCATAGTACAGCATTTGGTTTCATTAAATTTCATGCCCCATTTGTCCGCCCAATTCATAAGGCACTTCAAATCTGTTTGGAGGTGGTTGTGGTCATCGTTGCTGTTTATCTCTCTGCAGATAAGACAGTCGTCAGCGAACAGTCGTACTTGAGAATTTACTGTATCAGGTAGGTCGTTTATGTGACAGAGAAAGAGAAGGGGGCCCAGCACTGTGCCGTGTGGAACTCCTGAGTCTACGGTGGCTTTCCCTGATTGGACGCCGTCCACCACTACTTGCATGGTACGTTGTGTTAGGAATGTTGAGAGCCAGGAGTGAAGATTGCCTGTAATGCCGTAGTGGTGGAGCTTATGTAGAAGAAGGCTGTGTGGAACAGTGTCGAAAGCCTTGGAGAAGTCGAGAATTGCCATGTCGACCTGGGTACCTTTGTCATAGGAGGCTAGGAGGTCATTGGTGGTGATGATTAATCGAGTTTCCGTTGAGAATCCAGAGCGGAAACCGTGATTAGGGTGGTCAAAATCTTGTAGTGTTCAAGGTGCTTCATGATGTGGCGATAGATGATGTGTTCCAGGATTTTGCATGGAACGGAGGTCAGGGATATTGGGCGGTAGTTTGCTAGGTTATGACGGTCACCTTTCTTGTAGGCACTAGTGATGTTTGCATCAAGCCAGTCTAGAGGGAGTTTGCCGGAGTCAAGCGACTTTTGGAAAATGTGGGTCATGGTTGGGGCAATGTTGCCAGCCAGGGTCTTCAGGACAATGTTCGGGATACAGTCAGGTCCGGGCGCTTTATTGGGTTTCAGGTTTTTGAGAAGTTTTGCTACTCCTGGTTCAGTTATGTGGAGGGGGCCTATTGTACCAGGTGAAGGTTTTAGGGATGGTATGAATGTGGTGGAGATCTTGGTGAAGACGAATTGAAGAAACTGCTTTAGGAGAATTTCTGCTTTGCATTGGCCATCGCTTACAATTTGCCCGTTTTATAAGTTTATTTATCTTAATTTTAAATCAGTTTTGTTATTTTCAATCCATTTTGACACATCAATATTGATAATTGCAACAAGAATAATATATTTATATAAAAGTTATCTGTAAGTAACAATATGTAAATTCTTTACATGTAAGCTTAAAGTTAAAGGGTTAAATTGCTCTTTGAATTGTCACATGACCTCCCGGAACCAATCACACAAGCCTCAAATAACAAACAAAATGGTGACTCTGAAAAACAAACTGTTCTTGGGTTGCTTCATCTGTACTCTCGTTTCTCTCACAACTTCTGCATCTTTGTTAAATTTTATTAGTGACATTGATCCATGCGAAGAAGTATGCCAGAAAACATATCCATCTCATACTTATGATAAGGTATTTATATGTATTCTTAAGTTATATAAACAAGCTCTTGACTACGTCTCCTTACCAGTCTACATATTACGACATTACATATGATACAATACACTGATACACACACTCTGACAACTCAGTGACAACAGTTACTGTCTAGTTCACTCTTTTTTCACTTTAAAAAAAAAGTTATTACGAAAATTAATGACACTATAATTTATGATTTTTATAGACAACTTGCTGTTTCGTATATTTCATGTTTGGAATCAGAATATTAGACTATGACTATGATAGTTCTGAATCTAATAAATAAATATTAAGCTTTACTTTTAATGGCATTATTTACTTTATTTTTATATTTTAACTTAACAATACTCACAATTCAATAGTCATAGTCAATAATAAACATTCACAGGGAAAATTTAGTTTAGTCTTAGATAGTTAGGCAGCTAGGTGTTCATCATCCCAGAAAAAAATATTAGTCTTAGTCTACCAAAAATTGTCTCATTCAGCCAGTCTCTGTCTCTAAACTCTACTCTCTACTTCAGAGACTCTAGATCTAATTTAAAATTATTATGTTTTGTCCTCAAGAAAAGTGGAGTAAAATTTACTTTAAATTTTGAGTTAACCATATGGGTTTTGCCAAGAGTTTTCTCACCCTAAGCGCAGTGACATCACTTTGGGCGGGGAATCTCAGCACTGGACTTAGGGCTTAGGGTGAATAGACCTATTCTTTGAAGGACCCAAATGATGTGCTTTATAACATTCCTGTTCTTTATTGAGCATTACTCACGTCATAAACGATACGATTAATATGAAGTATATTGAAACCGAAATTTTCCATTAATTTGTATTAAAATTCAACTTTGTAACTTACACGTTTCAAAAGAAAGGAAAAAAGAAACACATCCTTGCTAGCCCTTGTTGTTACCCCAAGACCCAAAACCGGTGAAAAAAAAGACGCATGCCAAAAGTGCTGTAATTTGATTAGTTGAAATCACAATACCTAAATGTTGAAACTTAGGTCACAAAAGGATAACTACTGCTTAAATTGCATTTGGAATGATCTTCTAGGGAGTGGGTAGGGGAGACCCCTCCCCAATTTAACAAAAGATATAAAATAAGAAAACAATAACTTACATTATGTAAATAAAAACATTAAAATATTTTTAGTATGGCACTGTAGACGGCACTGTAGACCAAAGTGGACCTAGGGGAACCTCTGTGACCTATATACCGTGGAACACATCGTTGGCCATACCGCTAACTCAAAATCAGCCAAAGTTACAAATGACTTAATTTTGCTAAGTGTATGACTTAGGTGTGCTCCTAATGTATAGTCACTATGTAACTTATGTATGAGTATGACCACACATATCACTTAACTGGAGTTATTAAGGTAACCTCTATGACCTATTACTATAATGGAAGACATGTCGAACCTTACCGCTAAGTAGGAGCCAGAATGATTAATACAATGATTGTGGGCCCTCAAAATATAGGAGAAGTGCATAGTCATACTATTTAAAAATTTAGTAAGAGTACTTCTAAGTAATTAATATAGAGACCTAAAAATGCAAGGTCTTATGAAAAATCAAGTTTATCATAGGTGAACAACAGCATTCCCAAAATCTCATTTTATTGCATGTCAATTTGCAAGCTTTGAGTGGAGTAAATAAATCGGAAGACAAATTTGTATATTTTATCTCTAAGCTTTGAATTATTATTTGTGCTAAACAAACTCAAATTCTACTTAAATATATCATGCTCTAATGACTTAGAATGAAAGACTAATTTAATAATAACTGTTATCATCAAGATTTTTTTGGAGATTTTTCATCTGGTGAGCTTAACTTAAAGCAAGATGTGCATTTTTCTGTTACAGAGTTCCCCTCAAACTAGGGCTTCTTCACAGAATGATTTCTATTAATTACCTCTCCTCTTACAATTTTGTTGTTGCTCACTCTGTTTATATTTTTTTTATGCCTCCCCCACCTTATAATTGTAATTAAATCAAATGACTATCACTATCTCAGATGCCGAAACCTATTAAGAAGAAAATTCTAAATACAACATGACATACGCAAAAAAAAATTTGTTTAAAATGTAAATATAAACAATTTTATTTTATGTTCTTTCTTAAAAGATTTTTGTGCAGTTATATCTTTCCATTATAATTTAAAAACAAATTAATGTTAAATTTTCTAGAGTCAGTCAGTAGAATGTTGTAAAAGAGGATGTCGACTTTATTCCATCATTGAATTGGTAGGAGAAGAAGATGGAGTTAATGGCACTCTGAAGTCATGTTCTGAAAGTAAGTATAATTATTATCTATAACGTTGAAGAGCTTAGCACTTTAAAAAAACAAGATTCTTTTCAAGCTCATTGAAGAGAACTCATAGAAGTTTTAAGATTGAAGCACTACTTTTTAAAAATTTCTCTTACATATGAAAAATATTGCAACTCCATTGTATTAGATTTAAAATATTTATAAGACAAATTAAATTTTATAAATAGATTTTCTAATATTAAATTTTTTAAAAACTAATTCTCTATTTTGTGCAATGACTAATAATTGATTGTACAATTTTTATATTTGTACTATGAATAGCAGCTTTTAAATCCAAGCGGAGACCTTGAAGTAAATTTGTTAACATTCTTACTAATATTTTTGGGTATACTTGCAAATAAAACTATATAAACTGTGATTATTTCTATAAAGCTCAAAAAAAGCGACTTGAAATGAGTTTTTCAGATTAAAATAATTAAAAGAATCGTATTTACTATTGATGTATTTATATTCAAAGGTATTTAAAAAAAGAAGCATATAATTTCAAGGAAATAGAATTTAAGTTTGGCTTGATAATTAGTTGATTCTTAATTTACTTATATTGAAATATTTGCTTCAAGCTAGAATGGTGCCTATTATGTTTTTACTTTACACCACATAAAGTACAATCAAACATACAGAACTTACTTTAAACTATTTAGTAGTTGTTACGCACTGGCTTCTCTTGTGAGAAATTATTTTCCTATTTTAATTTTATTGGCTCGTTGTAAACAGTGCCTAACAAAGGACGATACCATAGAGTCAACAATAGTAAAGATACGACACCAAAACAGTTGCTAGTTACAATTAATAAGATTTATTTAAGTCTAAATATAATTACAAAAGAAAAGAAAATATAATGACAATCATCAACTTACAGTATGGTAGATCTTGTACCGGTACACAGTTAACACTGTTAGTACAATGTGCCAATGAATATTGATGAATGAAGAATGCGAATAAACACATATAAATACACAAAGAATAATACACGTCTCGTAAAGTTAAAACTATCTATCTGAATCTCCCTCTCTCCATATCTGTCACTCCCTTATATACATGTAGCGTAAGACGCTTCCAGAAATGACTTATGACGTGTTGTTTACATTTCTCGGGTTATTGAGAACATTCGACAACATACTAGCAGACTGTCTAACCATGTTTAATTGGTAAACACGGTTGTAAACAAGATACATCAAAGAGATTTAACCACGCCCACAACAAACGTTACCGTCTGCTAGTAGTCTAATGCAGGGTCAAAGAAAGTTCACGCACGGGGAATGTGTGCTACATAACAGTAGTAAATTTTTATAACATCAAGATATCCATCACATTTATGAATGCATTATTAATTTGATAAAATCAAGCCAAGAGCTATGAATTATAATTTAAAGCTCAATACATTTCTAAATCAGACTGCGATGATGCTTACCCCGGAGCAACAGATGAAACCTCTGCCTGTTCATTGGGTTGTAACAGTCAAAAACCCTTTACAGACAAGTGGGGACACGTAAGTTTGTAATTTTAGCACAATTGGTTTATTCCCCTGAAGTATTCTTTTTCTTGAAGTATTTCAAAATCTTGTAAATTCTGATTTGAAAATCAATTATTTTGAATAACATAATTGAAGGGACTGATAACCAAAAATAATGGTAGTGTTAGTTAATAAGGGGCCATCCATAAAAGACGTCCACCAATTTTTTGCTATTTCTTACACCCCCCCCCCCCGTTGTGGACGTCCAAAACATAAAATTTACCAAACTTAAATTAATGAATATTTTGGGAAAATGTACAACAATATAACGAGTACGTATTTACAAAACAAAGATTTTTTTTAGAAATTCCAATTATTTGCAGGCAAAATTCTAAATGAAATAATAACTGTTCAAAAACATTTTATTGAATCACTGTATTAAAAAATGTAATAAACAAATAATCCGCCATTCTTCAATCAACGGAAAATTCGGACTGCAGTCATTCAAACATGTTTCGTATATGACAACATCTGTTCTTGAGTCTTCAATTGCTAATTCAATTTACGAGGCAGTCTCTTCGTCTGATTCGTCTGCCATGTTATGTTCACTAGTAGGAATATTGCAATGGACGACCTTATATTTTTTCATTGCCGCCTGTGATGGGAAATATTTACCCGCAGAAAAATATTCTCTTGGAAATTCTCCCAGCCACCGATGGACAATAGAGATCAAATGGCATGCTACTGTAACTGTGATCGGGCTCCAGACCAATCAGTGCAAACCTCTGGAACAATGATCCATAAATACCACTACTACTACCAATAGCTGCAGCTAAAAGGTACCGGAGCTGGAATAAAGCGTTTGGGAAATAGTTCATTATAGTTGGTTCGTCTTGCTCCACAGCATGTTACATCATTACATTTGATGATCTGCAGAAAATATTGAGACTGTTGCACATGATTCCAGCACCAATTCACATAGGGAGATGGAAGATTTGTGCTTGTGGGGCTTGGTTCAACATACTGGGCGTGCACATTATAGCAATCAATGACAGCCTGACCCCAAACTTTAGCGAGTATTTCCCCTGCCTTTTTAAAGTTTGCTTTTTCCAATTTTTGGTCTATAGTTTTACCATTTGCGTCCAAGTGGGATCCAAAATGATCATGGGGAAGAATGAGGCCTGACAGGTCATGAGACAAAGGGGCCATTCGTCATTCTACCTCATTGTAGGCACTGTGACCCGGAGCATGACACGCTATAAAGAAAGCATCAAGATTGTGCTTGGTAAACAATTTATACGCAGCATTCAATGTTTTTAGATAACGTGGGTGCTCGTCTGGGCCTCCGTCAACGGTAATAATTACTATAGGCTTTACTAGTCCACCATTTGTACATGCCACATTCTTGAAGATATCAAGAGAGACAAGTGCATCAAAATCTGCAACATGTGATGCAGCAGTACTGGAATCATGTTTACCACTCCTTCTTGATATGGATGTTGGTCCGGAATAGGTCACACGACCATCCTTGATAATACATGCAGCATAAACTGAAGGTATTAGTTTATGCTTATCTGCCACAATATACGATATTCCAGATGCATTAGAAGTGGTGCCTGCTTTGATGCAGCTGGAAGACCCAAAGGAACTCTAGCCTTGTCGTCTTGGCTAAGAAAGAATGTGCACTGACTGCCCATCAATACTGCCAAATCTTTCAAATAAGCTATAGCTGATGCTGCAAAATGGGCATCTATGTGCTCTTTGCGCAAATTGTTGGTAGCTTTCATAAGTTTCACCGGAACGGTAGTTATGTGCCGCTTACCTTCAGCAGTCATGTAGTTGCGTGGTAGAAGATGAAGATAAGTTGCAGATCGGCCTAGGTTGAACCTAAGACTTAACAGCTCTGAATGTAGATCATCAAGTGTTTTACATGAACGGATCAATTCAGTGCGTCGACGGTCATCAGCAGCTCCACTTGCAGACACAATGTCGACAATTGACTTCAGCAAGTCAGATTGATCAGTTTCAATGCTTGGCCGACCAAGCTTTTTCCTAGTGAACTTTTTGAGCCTTTTTGCAGCGGTGGGATTTTCTGTAACAAGTATTTGCAAAGCTTCTTTCATGTCTGCTCGGGCTGAACGTTTTCGGTCAAATGAAAGGCGATGCAACTTCTGTTTCAGTTTTTTCTTTTTTTCTTCGAGTTCATTTGCGTTCTTTTTCATTTCATCTGTCCACAAACCAGTTTGACGAATTGCTAGCGAACCAGACAGTTTTGAATTTGTCAAATTTAACTCCTCTTGAGCTATCAGCTCGGCTGGTCTATTTTTTTCAACTTTAAGGGAATTGCATTGATCTGTTTCATGCTCGTTATTTTTGCTGAATGACTCATCTAAGTTGTCTTGATTGTCTGTCTTCCCATTTTCTGCTCTGAACAGGAAACAAAGTATTTCCGATAATGATAAAAATAAGAAATTAATATAAAAAATCAATTGATATACATAATATTACGCAATATAAAACTACAACTACATATATGATTGAAATATCGCAACACACTAAAACATAATACAAAATAAAAAAATTTTATGCTTTTTAAACTGACTGTTATTTGCAGGTACATTAACATTATCTATCATTTAATGAGCAAATTAAGTTTGTTAAAATTTCTTACTGATTTTACATATAAAAACATTTGATGGGATAAAATTTCCATACAGAAAAACATTTGCTTTTGCTTGCTATTAATAATCCAATGGTCTACACTACATCTACTTACAACTACAAGGCTTGAACATAATGTAAGACTTAAAGTGGCTTACTTTGAATTTGCTGATATTACATCACAATCACAAGATTTCGAGTTACCAGAAGCAGTGGCTGAATTGCTAGAACTTTTAGTAGTTGCGACATTGCTCCACATAGATATTAGTTTGCTACGCCTTCTGACAGCAATAGCCTTGAATTTAACAATGTTACGCTTGATGTCATCATTATTACGTTTACATTCGTTCCAAAGTTTTGCAAATTCTGATACGCTAATTCTTTTTTTTAAATCAGGATAGGCAGAAATATACGAATCTTTAAATTCTGAATAAAATTTTTCCGTTATGGCCAAACGCATCTGCCGTCTACCGCATGTTTTTGTTATTTTTTATTGGTTGATTGTGAATAGTTCAAGGCCAAAGGTATTAGCGACGCATATTTTAATAAAATTTACATATTTTAAACCCTGGATGTTTATTTTAGGTCTGCTTTTTATAATCTTTTTGAATAAATCAAGTCAAAATTTTGCCGCATTTGTTTAATAAAAAAATTTGTTTCTGAGCTAAGATTGTATTTTTAAATTTAAATATATTTTTTACATTTTTTCGGAAAATAATTTTTTTTCCTGTATCTAATTTTTTAATAAAAAATAAAGTCAAATTCAAATATTTCAGTAATTTTTTTAACCCCAACACAAAATAAAAATCATTGAAGGTTTTCTGGAAAAAACTCTAAGAATTTAACAAAACTGTTATTTGAGATTTTATTGTATTTGACAAATCCAACTTTAACAACATATTTTTAAAATAATATTCAAGCGTATTAATTATTAATATTGAAAAAATCGTTTCTAAATTTAACCACTCAATTTGTAAAAGATTGTTTGGGTTTGCATCCCAACTCTTTTGTCATTAAACTAGAAGTTTTTTGCAGTAAATTTATGCAAAACTGCTGCACTCAAAAAAACACTACAATGTGGACATCCACTTTGTCCTAAACCCCCTCCCCCCCTTTATCCACTTTAGTCCACTTTTTGCTGAACCCCCCCTCTCCCCTTTTGTGTGGAAGTCTTTTATGGATGACCCCTAAATGTTTGTGTGTTCCTTTCTAAATACTGGTAGTCTTGGCGGAAACTGTGATTTGACAATCAATTATTTTAAATAAGATAATTGAAGAGCCTGATAACCAAAAAAATTATAGTTTGTTAATAAATTTTGTTTCTTTTTAAATAGATGATTGATATGGATACAGATTTTCTTGGTGATGGGATGCCACGGATGATGTACCCATTTTTATACATGCACAACATGTACAGCAACATGGTTGACAAAGTCACACACCACATGTCTGTTTCTTGGTCATTTTTCATGCAAGATGGTAGTGGCCGACTGGTAGTTATTAAATCCCAACCACAGGTCCTTGATATGGATGTGCAGGATTTCGATGGTAGGCTATAAAAATTTAATTTTAAAATAGAAATTATGTACCAAAAAAGTTTAGATATTTTCTTAAAATGTATATCCAATTGTATAACATACAAAATAAAAATAACTAGATTAATTTTGCTGAGTGAGAATATAATAAAATTTAAGGATTTTTTTATATTATAGCATCCTTCCGTCTACGTCAGACGATGGAGTAGCTATATAGTTCTACACTTTGACGAGTGGCTCACTAGCCCAATCCTTGAATGGCAATCACGGCGCATCTCTCGCAGGAGAATGTTGAAGCCCGGTATATTCTTGATTTTCGAATTGCTCTTTTTGATTCGAGGGCCTGGTTTCGAGTAACTTCTGCCTTTTTCACTCCTCCAAACACTGCTGTACGCCAGTTGGAGCGATGTTCGGCAATGAACTCCCATTCGTTTGTTTCAATATTGGCTTCCCTCATGCTTCGTTTGCAAACGTCAATAAATCTCAGGCGTGGTCGACCAATGTGTCTTGTCCCCTCTGCCAACTCTCCATACAGCAGAATCTTTGGGATACGTCCTTCCTCCATTCTCCGTACATGACCTAACCAGCGAAGGCGTCTCTTGATAAGAAAGGAGAATATGCTAAACATGTGTGCACGTTCCAAGACCTCCATGTTAGGCACCCTGTCCTGCCAATGAATGCGCAAAATGCGACGCAGACATCTTTGATGGAAGCTGCTGAGTTTCCGCTCCTGACTGGTATATGTGGTCCACACTTCGCTACCATACAGGAGCGTGCTAAGCACGCATGTCTGATAGACACTTATTTTTGTTTTATCAGTTAAATTGAGATTATTCCATACCCGCTTATTCAGTTTAGCCATAGTTGCTGCTGCTTTTGCAATCCTGATATTGATCTCTTCATCAACGGAGAGCGAACTAGAAATATTGGATCCCAGGTATATGAAATGATCAACAACCGAAAGATTATGACCCTCAATAGATATGATTGGAGGGGACGGTGCTTCTTGCATCATTACATGAGTTTTCTGTAGACTAATCGAAAGACCAAACTCTTCACAAGCATGTGATTTTTTTTATCCTCTAAATTTCTTTTTTTTTTTATAGATACCATTTTTTCATAGATACCATTAAAATCAATACTAAAAATGAAGTCTTTGTTCCTGAGGACATTATCTTCAATGTTAATTGCATTTTCATTTTTGTCTCTTCAGCTGTAATAGTTTTTATTTCAACTCTGATTAACACTCATTACAAAATGAGATTGTTCACTCTGGGGTGCGTTAAAGGAATGATGAATATTTATCTTTATTAATCCAAAATATATAAATGTGATTTTTTAATGTTTAAATACTGCATCTTACTTATGACTTAATCATGTAGATTATTCAGCTTACAAAGGCACCAGTTCTATGTTAGAAACCAACATAGAAGCATCGGATAACACGGCCACAGAGGTACTGAGGCATTCACAGATCAAGTCAGCCAGGAGTTTTTCAGATGAACTCAATGCAGCTCAGGTTGTTAGAAATGTTGTGGTCTAATTATTTATGAAATTTATCTTTGACCTATCGATCTGCATATTTCACAGTAAATTTTATATTGAAAAGATTGAATCTCATATATTTGTAAACCTCTTATTTGATGGTTAATTGAAGAATCAGATAAATTGAATTTATTGAGTTTCAAATGTTTTAACTTAAACTACTTTTTTTCCCCAAATTCTTGCTCCAAACAAAACTTGAAGAAATTTAGAGGATAACGCTTTAGGCCAATTAAAATTAAAGTTTAAAAACCACTTTTCCCCTGGGCAATTTTTTTTGTGTGCATATTTTATTGTGAGGAATAAACTTATGGTTATTTTAGAGCTTTAATGTTATTCAGTTATAGGGGTGGGCAAACTTTTTGTGCGAAGGGCCATATTGACAAATGTAAAGCCATTGGTAAAGCATATTATGTCCAATTTTTACATGTCGATAAACATTTCTCTATATTCAAATCGGTAAATTCGGATTTTAGCATTATGTGACAAAAGTAAAGGACTGTTTCAAAAAATGGAAAATTAGAAAGAGAAATTTTATAAAAAATTGTAAAAACAATCATAACAGTACATGAAATCCTGTAAAATTCAACAAAATAACAAAGCCCAAGTAATTTTTTAAATTTCTAAATGTCTCCAATGTCCACATTAATATTAGTTGCTGGGCCGCATGTGGCCCACGGGCGTAGTTTGCCCACCCTTGAGTTATAACCTTTTTGCAAAATCTTGGCTCAAACTTCATGAGAAAATAATACTGTGGAAAACCTATCATGACAAAAGGGGAATTGTGGACCATTCCTTGTTGAGTCTCCTTTTTTAAACTGCACTGGGAGACAATGACATTCAGTCGTGCAGAGAATTATTATTAATAACTCTGCAGCTTAGTACTAATTTTAAACAGCAAGCACAATAATAAAATGGCAATAAATTTGAAGGGAGTCAGTTCTACTCAGTTTTAGTCTTATCATTTTTTTAAACTGTTTTTTTCTTCCTCATTGAAGTCTGATCCATGGAAGTACCAACTTGATGACATCAACAGCAGCGACTGGCTGACTTGCATAGCCCGTAAGACAGGCATTCCAAGGCTGTTGCTTTGTATGATCATTCTGCTAAGTGCTGTTGCCATGATATGGCTGTGCATGTCTGCAGCAGTGACTGCCCCTGAGCATAGGATATCTCAGGTGCTGAGTTTTGAAATGTTTGGTTCTATTTATATAATTGTGATTATAGTCGTAGAAATACGTTTTTAAAATGTCGCCATAGGGGGTACAGTATTTAATATCTTCAAACTTAATAAGGGCTTTATTTATTTATCCAATTGAGATAAACTTTGACTAAAATTATACAATGGAATTTCTGTCTTAAAACCATCATGAAATTTGTAGGCTTATCGTTTGGTCAAATTTAAATTTGGAAAGATTTTCTTTTCATATGACATGAAAGTAACATAATTATGTGTTGCTTTTTATAAACTTGGAGCTGACATCATAATTAAATGGATTTTATGACAGGGCTTTCTTGGTGTGACCTAACCTGATAGCAGGGCATTTTTTAATTTAGTGTATCCCTTTAAAAAGTTTGGCTATTAACTTAGTTCGAAATATTGATGAAGTGGCATTAAAACTCATCACAATTTATCTCAGTTTTGTTTTGTTTAGTGAACTAAGTAGCGATTTTACTTGTTAATATCATCGTAATGATGACGTAACTTTAAATACTTTGATTGATTCCAGCAGAAACTGAGCATCAATGGTGATTTGGAATACCTCCGCTATCTGCCCGAAAAACTGGGCATCAAAGGAATCCACCCTCAGGACTATGTAGAGGCCAGACCACTGCCGCTCAAGATTCGTGTTGAACAGATTTAGAATCTGCCCTCGTGATATTTTTCACCCTTTCTTCACCAGCACTTCCATCGTACCGCAGTTGATCATCAACCGTTCATCTGTAATTCCAATTCTGAAATTGTTCATCAATGTTTTGCTGACATTTTCTTAAACATCTGTTTCTCATCCATTGGAGGGTTTTATTATATATTTTGAACTTCAATTGCTTGCAAGTATTTAATTTTGTAAATTATTATGTAAAAATTATATTGATAGCTGTGCATGTATATTTATATATATATATATATTTTGTTTGAATACTTTAAAACTCCTACTTCAAATGATAGCTACTTTATAAAAACCTATTTCAAAGTGGCAATGGTTGCCTGATAGTTGACTATAAATTACAATGTTATCGCAATCTAATCATAATACACTGGAAGAAATCCTGGGAAGAAACTGAGTTACGGACTAAAGATTGAAGTTTAAAACGCAATTTCAATAGATCAATTTGATTTTTATCAATTTATTTATTGCCAAGTTGAAATTCATTTCAGATTGATTTATGACAAGGGGATTTTTGCCACTAAAATCTGTCTGGTAGCCCTGCTTTTTGTCTCTCCCATTCCAGTGGGCCACATCAGCTGATGGCTTGACATGTCAGCAGACCTCAGTTTAGGTTGGTGCTTGGTCTGTATCATGTGGATGAGACTCTCTCTCATTCTGTTATGTGAAGATGATATTGACCTTAGCTGGAACAGAACAGATGAGTTCTCTTAACACCCCCCCTCCCCCTCTCTTATCCTCTTGACAAGAGATTGTGTTCAAAATTTATTTTCTTTTAAACTGTTCAGAAAAAAAAAAAAAGGATCCAACATCGACTGTGTACTGTTACACCTTTTTATTGACCTTAGCTGGAACAGAACAGATGAGTTCTCTTAACACCCCCCCTCCCCCTCTCTTATCCTCTTGACAAGAGATTGTGTTCAAAATTTATTTTCTTTTAAACTGTTCAAAAAAAAAAAAAAAGGATCCAACATCGACTGTGTACTGTTACACCTTTTCAAATCTTTAAATCCTATTTTGTTACAGCATTCACAGATCCAAACTCCTGAGAAAATCATCTAATTCTCCTTTGTTTCATTCCTCTTGTTCCTAAGATGAAACCTGCGATGTCATGCCGTAGTGCATATCCTATTTGTTGTAAAGAGCTTTTCAGCCATCATGGCAAAGCCAAAGTTGCTTTCTAAAACATATCAGTAAAAGACTTATTCGGTTATCAATGAGATTGGTTCTATTATGTTCTATATGTTGTCTGATCTGCAAATTAATAAGTCCCTCATATTAGAAACTTGGTTCAATATGATTTCTTGAAAATATTTCTTTAGTTTCTTTAAGATTTAAATTTAATCAAGGTCTTTCTCTAGTTTGTACATTTTTGAAGTTTCATATATAAAAAAATTGGCAATGAAAGGTGTGTCCAGCTTTTCTTTTCCACTTATTCACAAATGTGATTATAAAAAGTCAGACTCTGTGTTATTTTCTTGTTAAAATGTCATCCCATAAAAAGCCAAATTGTGTCTGAAAAAAACCATCAAGGGTTAACATGTGCACCCATCATTAAAGCAAAGAAGAAAAAAAAAGATTGTTAACTCAAAAGCTATTGAGATTGCTGTTCTGAAGATGTTTGTGTCTTCTGTGGCCCAATGTTTCTGTGGCTGGTGTATAAGTGAACTGTGCCGTATGTACCGTCTATGACGTGAGTCTTAACATCTGTTTTGGCATGTTTGTCCTCTCTCCCCTCCCAACACTTTCTTATCAACTGCACATTGTAATCATCTCCTAAAGTAAAGCCGGCAGTTTTCTTACTGTGACAAAAGCCTTTCAATACACAATGGAATTTTAATACAGGCTGGTACAATGTGGCGCCAAAAGCTTGTTGTCTTAGATGAGTTTTATTTCTAACCCAAGGCACTGTGGGTACATTGCAAACGTCAGTCTAACCCAAGGCACTGTGGGTACATTGCAAACGTCAGTCTAACCCAAGGCACTGTGGGTACATTGCAAACGTCAGTCTAACCCAAGGCACTGTGGGTACATTGCAGGCGTCAGTCTAACCCAAGGCACTGTGGGTACATTGCAAACATCAGTTTGTTTATATTTAAAGCAACCAGGGTTAGGGTTAAAAAACAAAGCCAATCAACTGTTTAAAAAATATCATGAGAAAATAACACACTTGATTGCTTCCAGCAATTTGCCACCTGTAAATGGTTTGTACGTTGAGAGAACTGAATGATTGTGTCTTTTTATCTCTCACAGCAATGCTTGAACAAACACTCTTTCGATTAGTGGATGGGCATCTCCATGTTGTTTCTCATTCTGTGTGTGCCATGATGACAAACGGCTTCACATATATGATTCAAATGTCATAGCTATTCTCACAGATACTGGAGTTAAACTGATGGATACTCAGAGTTAAACTGACGGATTCTCTAAGTTAAACTGTCATTTTTCATCTAACTTTTGATATATTACACACACAAAAACAGTCAATATAAGATTTTCTTACTTACTTTAGCATTGTAACTATGCAGAATGATTCATATTTTTTTTCCAGCTAAAAAACTATTATAAAATGTGGTTGCTTTGTTTGTTCCTTTGAGTCCCAACTTTGCAGTTTTGACTATGACTAGAATATAGGGATACATTTGTTTTAAATGGACAAAATGGAGCATAGAAATATAACTACAAAATGGATTTTAACTTAACAGAATTGATTTCTTCCCCCTTTTACCCCTTCATACTTGCACCACTTTGTCCATGTATTAAATCTGAGTTTAAAAAAAAAAAAAAAAAGCTCTCAATGCAGAAACTTTAAATAGAATCTCATTAAATGTACTGCAGTATTGATTTCCTGTATAAAATGGAGAATAGAAATATAACTACAAAATGGATTTTAACTTAACAGAATTGATTTCTTCCCCCTTTTTCCCCTTCATACTTGCACCACTTTTTCCATGTATTAAATCTGAGTTTAAAAAAAAAAAAAAAAAGCTCTCAATGCAGAAACTTTAAATAGAATCTCATTAAATGTACTGCAGTATTGATTTCCTGTAGTTTGAATCAGCACAACCATGTTTACCATCCATGTGTGTAGTGTAGTTCACAATTTCAAGCTGCTCTACTCCTGTAATAGTTTTTTGTCTTCAAACAGTTTTTCTCTCCCATCTCTTCTTTTAAAACAAAAAAAAAAAAAAACAGCTTGTTTAGTGTCCTGCTTCTTCCATTGATAATATCAAGTGAATTATTTATTGGACTCTTTAACTTTATGATTTTGTTTATTTACTTGTTGGGCTGTGATCATCGACTACTAATGTACTTTGTGTCATCAGTATGTGGGCTAATGGATCAGAATAAAAGATTGGTTATTAAAAACACTAAATTCTCTTAGTGTCTTAGAGTACTTGTTTCTTGTTTATCATTATTAATTCATGCAGTGCATAAGAAGAAAAAAAAGGAAATGTCGAAAAGAGGGGGAGGGGGGCAGTTTGTTATTAAAAAAAATATAGTATTTTTTTTTGCTTTTTTTTATGGAGCACTTAATTGACGCGGTGGTATTTTTTGGTCTATTAGAGCTTTTAATGTGTAGCACAATCAAGGTCGGGCAACTACTCCACTGGTAAGATGTGAAATACGGGCAACTACTCCACTGGTAAGATGTGAAATACGGGCAACTACTCCACTGGTAAGATGTGAAATACGGGCAACTACTCCACTGGTAGGATGTGAAAAACGGGCAACTACTCCACTGGTAAGATGTGAAATACGGGCAACTACTCCACTGGTAAGATGTGAAAGCGGGCAACTACTCCACTGGTAAGATGTGAAATACGGGCAACTACTCCACTGGTAAGATGTGAAATACGGGCAACTACTCCACTGGTAAGATGTGAAAAACGGGCAACTACTCCACTGGTAAGATGTGAAATACGGGCAACTACTCCACTGGTAAGATGTGAAATATGTTGGAAAAAGTCATCTCAAAATTTAAACATCTCTGCACTACTTTGTCTTTATTCGTAATCCTATGATTTAGCTATTGTCGAAAAAAACCGCATTTAATACAAAAATATACCACGGTACCTTGTATGTGTGCTTATTGGGTGGTTGGTAGGTGGAAATGTGTGATGATAGGGTGGTTGGTAGGTGGAAATGTGTGCTGATTGGGTGGTTAGTAGGTGGCCATGTGTGCTGATTGGGTGGTTAGTAGGTGGCCATGTGTGCTGATAGGGTGGTTAGTAGGTGGAAATGTGTGCTGATTGGGTGGTTAGTAGACCCAACATGAGTATTCAAAAATCCAGCATGAGTATCCAAAGACCAAAAATGAGTATCCAAAGACCCAATACGTGTATCCAAAGACCCAACATGAGTATCCAAAGACCCAACATGAGTATCCAAAGACCCAACATGAGTATCCAAAGACCCAACATGAGTATCCAAAGGCCCAACATGAGTATCCAAAGACCCAACTTGAGTATCCAAAGACCCAACATGAGTATCCAAAGACCCAACATGAGTATCCAAAGACCCAACATGAGTATCCAAAGACCCAACATGAGTATCCAAAGACCCAACATGAGTATCCAAAGACCCAACATGAGTATCCAAAG